AACAACCTAGTGTGTTATTAGCATGTAAAATGTATTGATAGTTAATTAAATGTTTCTAGCATGGTTGTCCCAATGTTTACTAAATAGATTAATTATAATGACACGCTCCCTATATTGTTCACCATGCTACTTAGAGTATTCGATCTGAAAATCACACGTAGGAATGACTTTAATACAACATTAGCTCTGTTTATTTGACTGTAAATAATGCTGCACTTTGATAATCATTGGCTGCTAATATGATTTCACTATTTAGAATTTACAATGAATATTTTTCTGACATTATATTATTAAGGAGAATGTGCGAATATTAAACCAATTTTACCTCAATCCTGTCACAAACTCTCCACTTACGACACCTGACATCAAATAAATGATCAGGCTTCATATAACGGATCATAATATATTAAACATGCATTGACTGACTCCTGATACATGCTAGTTTTTGTCTTATCGAGTGATTCCTAGTGCACTAGAGAGGTGATTGAGACACAGACAGAGGTTTAGTGTTGATTTCTTCTTGTTTGTGTTGATTCTTCTCCTCTTAAACAGACAGAGAAACTCCTGCTGAAGCGACTGAGCTCCACTATTATAAAGATGGCCTTTATTAAAGAGGAGAGTGAAGACCTGAAGATTGAAGACACATTCACAGTCAAACATGAAGATGCTGAGCAACACACAGGTTGGCTTTCATTCTCACAGCTCAACTCATACAACATAGACATGAAAACAACACGTTTAACTTAAATGATTGTCAATATTCAAGGCTTTGGTGCACCGCTTCCAAGCTGGGTCTCATTTTAAAGAAGACACCTTTCAGATTGAAGCAGAAAAGTTAAATAAAACTAAAGTTATGTGCCTTTGTTTATGAAAATAATAAAACAATGGATATATATGTTCATATAATATATAAAATATGTATTTTACAAAACATGTTTAAGTGTACAGAAAATCAACTAGCTTAATATCTGATCAAATTATATTTCAAATTTGAAGTTGATGATGAGCTTGAGATGGAATAAAAAGAGCTTTCAGTGAGATTTAGTTTGGCTGCAGTACCAGACATGACCACCAGAGTTTACATTGGCGACCATACAAGAGCGCCCTCTTAATGTTTTGAGGAGTAGGAACTGTATTTTTTATACTGTTGACAGTATTTGTAAAGTAGATATTGGATTCTGACGTAGTATGGGCAGATTAGTTTAATTTAGCTTCTAGAAAACATCTAAATTTAATTTTACATGTGGATTGCTGTAGCAAAGGAATGCTTTAAGACTCTGATGAGCTCACTTAATCAACAACTGTTGCTCCGTAACTATATCTATCAAAAGTCATTCATCAGATATGGAAGCTAAACATTTTTAGCTTTAAGATAATCTATAGTTAGCTGTGATTGCTTTATGTTTAGACTATAATATTCTACTTTAATCTACTACTCTTCCTACATAACAAAA